TATACTTCATATTGTTTGGATTGGTATTTTGCTTTACTGTTGAGTTGAATAGTTGAATTGCCAGCATGCCTACTTACCGTATAATTTAAATGTGTTATAATTGCTGAGGTTTAGTTCGTCACTACCTATTAGTCCATAGTTTGGACTTGTTCTTACTGAGTTGGTGTACTCATATTACCCCCTGCACCTTGTGTGCATATCCAGGTATCTCAGGTCACGGTAGCGGCTGTTAACTATTCCAGTCGTGGATTATCATCGGAGATAGCGAGGTAGCTGCCTGGCGATCGCAGTCCCGCCTTTCTCCTTCTTTATCTTCCTTTTAGTATACTTTGGCTATTTTCAGACTATTTGGATCTTGTTATGTTTCGGAACAATTGTAGTATTGCTCATGACTTAGTGACACCCGAGGTCGGAATTTTATTTCCGTATTTAGGTTTTTGACTGTATATTTTTTATGGTATTTCAGTTGAAAAAGGTTGTTATTTAAGTTTTAAATGAAATGTTGAGCTACTTTGGAAATGTGTTGGCAGGCCTAGTTTCATGATAGACGCCATCACGACCAGGTTGGTTTTGGGGTCGTGACACTATCCCACCAATAACAAATCCAATGTAATCCTTTAAGTAGAGTGTAGAGAGGGTAGCGTGTACGCATACTTTACCTCTACCTTCAAGAAGGCAGAAAAGTTGTTTCCGGTAGACCCTCATCTTAAGAAAGGTAAAAGGAAGGGCAGCAACAAGCATACCAATTAGAAAATTGAAACAAAATACAAAACTAAAACTAAGTACGACAATCAGCAAGCTGAAACAAAAGCAACAAATTGATATTTAATCTGCATTATTTCTCATGGAGTGTCAACTTGTTGTAGATACACATTATTATTTTTAGAAGAATACTAAAACAATATATATAAATTACTTTTACGTGAAGCAATATCAGATGACACTACTTGATTGAATGTGTCTTTGCTATTGCTGCAACAAAAATAAAAATTACAATAGTAACGACAACAATATATAATACTCTCCGCTATCTTTTTGTTTGGCACATCAATTAAAAAAATCATTTTATAGTATTAGTTGTAGGAGGTATTAATACTAAAAATAATATATATAAATTATTTTTACGTGAAGCGATATTAGATGACAGCATTTGATTGAATGTGTCTTTGCCATTGCTGCAACAAAAATAAAAATTACAATAGTAACAACAATATATAATACTCTCCGCTTTCCTTTTTGTTTGGCACACCTATTAAAAAAATCATCTTATAGTATTAGTTGTAGGAGGTATTTGATTAAATTACTCTTATCTCTTTTTTAAATGAGTAACTAAATTACTATATGCTTTATTAGAGTAGTAACGGTGAATTTTATTAAAATTAAACTAATGTCTTCTTGATTTGTTAAAGTGATAAATATTTTGGACCTTTTTTGTGGCTAAAGAGAGATAATAAAAGGACGAGAGAGAGTAATAATTTATTACATCCACGATCAATTAACATAGAAGAGTACAACGATTCAGGGTTGTGGTGGAATAAATATGATCCTTCAATCTTTAATCAAATATCTCGTATTCGAGCACAGAGAATGAAAAATATCTTGATAGAAAATGCTTCCCTTTTAATGAACCTTACACACGGTGAAATATTCGAATTATTCGGGATCCCGATACGAATATCGAATATTAAGTAAGAAAAAAGAAACATAGAAGAGCACTAAACGACTGCCCTTTGATAGCAGGATCATTGTGGGACTCGAAGGATTTCTATGATTGAGCCAAAAGGTAGCTACTCGTCCGTGCAAAAAAAGCAAAATCTTATTTTAAATCAATATATTTGATTCTCCCTATGGCTTAAAAGCTACAAACATAGTATTTTTAAATCTCTAAAATATGATATTTCATTGAGTTGCCAGTTATAAAGTAGTCATGCATCCCACTTAAACTAAAAAGAAAACAAAAGACAAAACAGTATTTTGTTTTGCAACTTGCCCCATTTAGTCCGTTGATTAATTTTCCTAATCCTTTCTTTTAAAGTGATAAGCTAGTTTAATTAAAGACATTAAGTAATTAATTATTGACGCTATCCTTTTGTCGTTTCTCCATTCCAACTTGGTGCAATTTACCTCTAAAAGCATGTTAAAGCCAAAAAGTTTATGAACTTATGCATTACTAAAGTAGCAATTTAAAATTTTCAATTAATCTTGATAAGCAAAAACATGCAAATGCTTTCTGCCAATAGCTACCATATTCCACAAAGATACAACTTTGTTTCATTTTAGTTTCACTTGTCCTATATAGAAAATAATCACGCACCTACTCTCTTAAACTAAAAATAACCGACAAATTAATTATATATTATCTTAAGAACTTATAGTATAACTAGGAGCACAGAGCTTCTGTTGATCCTTTAAAAACATATGAACCAACTTGCTTTATTTAATAGGATTTTGAGGGACGTTTTCTCTTTTCCTTATCAAATAAACACACTTGATCGCCTTTGATGCAATCTTGATAACTGGATTACATGTACAGGTAAGTATTGAAGATTTATAATTAAATAAATAAAGGTGTGATCTCTAATAGTCTATGTTTTTCAATTAGATAGTCATACAATTTAATATGATATAAGAATAAATAAGAGTTCATGGTATAAAATACGGTGATAGGATGAATAGGATCCATCTACTTTTAACCGAAAATCTTGCTGTCTTGGGTTTGAGTTTGAAAATAGAAAAAAATCTTGATAGGCAACTTTTCCACTTTAAGTGGCCTGAACTTAGATTAGTCGGACCCTAATACAAGTTTCAGACAACAACGAAAAACTAAAATAAAAAAATATCTTATGTCTTGAGACCGTCCACTAAACGCTGCACTATGCTTGTGCCTTTTGAAACATACGCAGTACCGTATAGTGGTGAGCAAGTGGTGGGTGCCAATACCTTGGGTAGGCAAATTAAGAAAACTAGTGGGTGCCAATAGCTGGCAAATACACTATCTGCTGCTATTATAACAAGTCATTAAAAGTAAGATAAAGAAGTTCAAAGTCAGGGGCGTATGTAGTGTGTTGCCTGAACTCATAACTTTCGATGTTGAGTAAAAATTTATATGTAAAAATGCATTAAAATTGCATAAATAGTAGATATGAACCCATAACTTTAAAAATATAATGGGTTCAACGCTAAAAACCGTAAAAATTGAACCAATGGGATTTAAATCCTGGATCCGCCTCTGTTCAAATTTATTAACTTTCCAAACACATAATTCATAAAGGTGTTGTTAGTATTTCTCGAGTGGACTGAAAAGGGAAGAATGTCATCTAAAATAAAACCGGAGGGAGTAGAATCTAGGGGATGAATGTAGGTGAGAAGCAAAGTGAACCTAGGCCCAAAGTTAACATGTTCAAAGCTTTGCCTGGCATTAGACTGATGTTGCAGAACAAAATCTAGACATGCAAAAAATGACATAAAAGGGGCTGTAAATTGGAGAAGTTTAATGTCCATCCTTTCAAGATTGAAGAAGTAATTTCCTATACACTTTACATGTTTTAAGGCAGTTATATCCATAAAGCTTTAGTGTTTAGCCCCTCTTTCTTTTTTCTAAGTTCTTTGCCAGTTTAAGGAACAAAAAGTTCTGCAGCATGACCTGAGTTGCTCATATGAAGGTGCGGGTGTCCGACACGGGTGCGGATCTAGAGGTCGGATCTTTCGAGATGTAAATTCTAAGATTTTGGGACACGGATATGGGTGAGGGAATCAAATTGTATCTCATCTCAAATTTTTCCGTCCGTCGTGGTCAAAGTACCCAAAATTGTTTGACCAGATTCTGTACGGATCACATACCCAACCCATACTAGTGTCATGTCGACACGGGTGCGGCACCTAAACTGTCATGTCGGAGCAACTTAGACCAGGACAAACACATATAACAACAACAACAACAACGACCCAGTAAAGTCCCACTAAGTGGAGTCTGGGGAGAGTAGTGTGTATGCAGACCTTACCCCTACCCCGATAGAGCAGAGAAGCTGTTTCCGATAGACCCTCGGCTCAGGAAGATAAAAAGAAAACAAGAAAACAAGAAAAGACAATTCATCAGTAATGACAGCATAACCATAGAAATAATGACAGCATCCTAAAAACCATAGAATAGATGATAGGCAATTGCCATAACCCACAACTAAGACTAGAGCTATGGAAAACAGTAAGGTTAGTGTGGACTCTACATTAACCACAAGTCTGTCTAGGACCAACCTACTCAAACTCGCTTCACCCCCGGAATGGAGGAGGGGAAGCTCGACTACCACCCTATCCTACCACCCTAATGCTCGACCTCCAAACCTTCCTATCAAGGGTCATGTCCTCGGAAATCTTCAATCGTGTCAGGTCCTGCCTGATCACCTCTCCCCAATACTTCTTAGGCCGTCCTCTACCTCTTCTCGAACCCACTAAAGCCAGCAACTCACATCTCCTCACCGGAGCATCCAGGCTTCTCCTCCGCACGTGCCCGAACCATCTGAGCCTCGCTTCCCGCATCTTGTCTTCCACAGAAGCCACACCCACCTTCTCACGAATATCGTCATTCCTAATCTTATCTATCCTAGTGTGCCCGCACATCCACCTCAACATCCTCATCTCAGCTACCTTCATCTTCTGGATATGAGAGTTCTTAACTGGCCAGTACTCTGCCCCATACAACATGGTCGGTCGAACCACATATAACCTCTGCAGTTATTTCTATTTAGCATTTGATATTCTAACAGATCATACTGTAGTGTCTCACAGCCCTGAAAATCTAGCTCCCTGGAGAAGGCACAGAGGCTAATTATACTGTAAAACTTTTTTTGGATAAGTATAACTACAACTATGTCTCAGTCCTAAACAAGCTCGGTTTTTTCAGATAAGTAATCAAACATTTTATAAATACTTGAACTAAGCCAGTGCGACAAAACGTCTGATTATACTGTAAAACTTCAGACAATGAACTAACCAGAGTAGCATTAATCACTTCCAAACTCATTCTACAAAGTCAGACAGCATTTTCACTGTAAGAAATATGTGGTAATTTCTTGTATTATTTACCTGTAAAATACAATACAAGGAGAACTAGCACTAGAAAGCTTATCAGAGGAAGGCATTTTTGTATACATTTACAGGTTATTATGTTTTTCTGAGGGTAATTAAACTTGAGACAAGATGAAGTTACCTTCTTGCTCATCAGACTCAATCAACATTAACACGACCTCACGCATTGAAGGACGATCAACTGGTGACATACTAGTGCACACTAAAGCAATTTTCAAAACTGTAAGCATATGATTTACAGTAGTTTTATCGGTTAAATCCAATCTGCTGTCAAGTATCCCTGGCGTTAACGAATGGTCCCGAATATAATGCCTCACCCAGGTGACAAGATCACCTCCTTCATCTAGTGGCTGTACAGGTGTTTTTCCAGTTAGCAACTCCAAAAGGACGACTCCATAACTATAGATATCGCTTTTTTCTGTTACTTTCATTGTGTAAGCATATTCTGCAGCGGAAAAAACAGAACCATTAAAACAATAGTGTTTTGTTCATATCATGACATAGCACATAATCTTTTAGAGTGACATTCAAATTGAACATCAAAAGTGTACCTTGTAATTTGACGCAAGGATTAAGCTTGTCAGAAAAAGTTTACTAGATCATACAGTACGGCGAAAACTAACAAACACTAGTCAGTTCATGGGAGGAATTTTATGTGGAACTTTACGTGTATGTTCACTGATTTTTCCATGAAGAGTTATAATCATTGCGTATCGAAAATATACAGTCAAACCTCTTTATAACAGCCTTATTTGTTCCGAATTTTTTTGGCTGTTATAGCGAAGTGCTGTTCTATAGAACATATATTATAACATAGCATGAAAATTGGTTCCATAAAAAGTTTGGCTTTTATAGTGAATGACTGTTATATAGCGATGTTGTTATAAAGATGTATGCTTTTATAGCCTTATGAGGACCACCTAGAAATATGTATCTTGACAATTTTTCAGACAATAGACGAGCTATACTAGGCAAGTTTTCATGAAAAGAATGAAAAAGTACTTACCAGGGGCAATGTAGCCGTATGATCCAGCAATTGCAGACATAGACTTATTTTGAGGCACGTCAACAACTTTAGCTAGGCCAAAATCACCAACGTGAGCTTCTAACTTCTCATCAAGCAATATATTATTGGACTTTATATCGCGGTGGATGATCTGTGGCTTGCAATCGTGATGTAAGTAAGATAGGCCTTCAGCTGCCCCAAGAGCTATTTTAAAGCGTATCGGCCACTCCAAGCTACAGGATGTACTATGAAGCAATTCACCTAAGCTACCTTTCGCCATGTACTCGTAAAGAAGCAGATTAGAACCCTGATGATAGCAAAAGCCATAGAGTTTTACAATGTTACGATGCCTGATCTTTCCCAGTGTTGTAATCTCTGCTCGGAAACTCTTTTCTATGTTATTACACTCTCTGTTAGAAGCCAGCTTCTTAACCGCAATCGTTTTCCCAGACTGCATCACAGCCTTATAAACTGTCCCTACAGCTCCTCTCCCAACAATATAACTGTCATGAAAATTGTTTGTCGCGTCAACCAAGTCTTGGAAAGTGAATTCCTCTTCGGGAGGGAAATATATGCCCGAACCTGGAAATGACGCGTCCATATCTTTGATGGATTCAACCATCTGAACTGGATTCCGCCTCATCAAATATAAAACACCTAAAATCAAAACAAGAGAAACACCACCAACAACAGTCGCAACAATAATAGTAACAATATTCCCTCTAGGAGCACCTGCACTTTCGACTACAGGATCAGAATTTAAAGATGGAGATTCATTACATTCACCTAGAAGCCCACCGCAAAGACCTTTGTTTCCAATAAAGCTACTGACATCCATATTTTGAAACAGCGGTATATCTGGCAGTGGACCGGTGAGGTTATTGTATGAAAAGTTACAGCCCATTAGACCGGTCAGGTATTGGAATGTGATCGGTATTTCACCAGTGAGATGATTATTGTTGAGATAGAGATACTCTAGTAGAATAAGATTGCCAAGCTTAGGTGGTATTGTACCAGAGAGATTGTTGTAACTAAGATTCATCGCGATCTGTAAACCAGTAAGATTACCTAATTCTGGTGGTATTTCACCTGAATATGAATTTCCACCCATCTGCAGCTCAGTCAAACGCGAAAGCCTCCCCAATGCTGCTGGTATCTTTCCATAAAACTTATTTTCTGAAACCAAAAGGCGTTCTAGCTGCGCCAGTTTTCCAATTTCATCAGGTACAGTACCACAAAAGCTGTTCTTGCTGAGATCAAGTCGTTGTAGCGCCTTGCATTTCAGAATTTTTGGTGGTACTTGACCAGTCAGCAAATTAGATGAGACATTAAAAGTTACAAGTTTTTGAAGATTCCCTATCTCATTTGGCAACTCATGTGTGAAATAGTTGCCTGACAAATCAAGTCTTTGCAAATTTTGACAGTTTCCAATCTCAGGAGGTATTAAACCACCGAACGTGTTCTGGCCTAATTCAAGAGCAGATAAATTCCTCAATTTGCACACATCAGAAGGAAATTTCCCTTGTAGCCAGTTGCCATTAAGACGAAGTTGTACCAACGAGACACAGTTAATAACACTAGGTGGAATGTCTCCGTGCAAGTTATTTGAGCCAAGATTTAGCAAAATCAAATCGGAATTCCTACAAATATTTGGAGGGATTGTTCCTGTGAGGTAGTTGTTAGATAAATCAACAACCCAAAGTCGGCCATAAATCCCGAGATGTTGAGGAATACTACCACTTAAAGAGTTCTGAAAGAGCTGTAACTGAACCAATTCAGTCAGATACTGAAATGCAAATGGAATAGGGCCTGTTAAGTAGTTAATCGACAGATCAAGATGTTCCAATTTTCTTAAACTAGTAAGTTCTTGAGGTATGGCACCTTTGAGCTGGTTTTTGAAAAGATACAACAATTTCAGGCCCTTTATTTGACTGAACTCAGTTGGTATTTCTCCAATTATATAGTTTTCTGAGAAATCAATTTCTAATGCCGAAGAAAGATTCCCAATAACCCTTGGAATAGTACCACTTAATCCATTCCGGTATAGGTATAACCTCTTGAGAAATTTGAGCTTACCTATCTCAACAGGAATTTCTCCAACCAGGTTGTTCTGGTATAAAGCAAACAGTTCAAGTCTTGTACAATTTCCGAGTTCCTTTGGAATATAGCCAGATAATTGATTGTCCCAAAGTACAAGTTGTTTCAAACTACTAAGCATACCGAGCTCTTTGGGTATATTTCCTCCAATATTATTTTGTGCCAGACCAAGAACTTGTAAGTTCAGGCAATCACCAATCTCCGCGGGTAAGCTTCCAGAGAGTAAATTCTGCCCCACTCGAAACGTTATCATTGTTTTCAGATTCCCAAGTGATCGAGGGAGTGGACCGATGATATTATTGGTGTATGCAACAAAAGAAACTAGAGAAGAGAGTTTCCCAAACTCCTCTGAAATAGGACCAGATATCATGTTATTGAACAAATTTAACTCTTCCAAATAAGAAAGGTTATACAATTCAGCAGGAATCTGGCCATAGAAATCATTATCATTGAGTTGGAGACTCTGCAATTTCGAGCAATTTCCTATTTCTTTCGGAATATTTCCAGTGAATTCATTGTAAGACAAGTCAAGAACGGTTAAACATACAAGACCGCCAATACTAGAACTCAAAGAGCCAGAAAGATTCATAGACCTCAGATCAAGAATTTGCACAACTGGATTATAATCAGAAGTGCAATTTACACCTTTCCACTTACATGGTGTCTCATCACTAGAATTCCAATTCTCAAGATAGTTAAACTTATCGATTATATTCTTCTTCAACTCAAGTAGGTAAATTCCTTCAGCATTCAATCCTTCTATAGGATAAACCAACATCACAGAAGCCAACAAGAAAACCATCCAAATCAGAATTAGCCCATTTCTTGAGTCAAATACCCGAGACATATCAAAACCCCTCAGTAACTCAACGTTGCAGCTTACAACAACAACATACCCAGTGTAGTCTCACAAGTGGGGTCTAGGGAGGATAGAGTGTACGCAGTCCTTACCCCTACCTTAAGAAGGCAGAGAGCCTGTTTCCGGTAGACCCTCGGCTCAAAGTTGCAGCTTGACCTGTAAAATTTAGAGAAATATCCCGCAGCTTCAATCATCACGACATAGCAGATGAATCAGCTATATTTAGAAAGCAACCTTGGCAACCAGCGGCGGATGTAGCATATAGTCAACAGGTTGATCTGAATATAGTATCTTCGGCACAAGTATAGATATACATATGAAAAATCACTTAAAAAATTTAATAATTCAAGCTTTGAGCTTGCAATTTCAAAAGTATAATGAGTTCAATGATAAAAATATAAAGGTTGAGCCCATTGATTTTAAATCTTGAATCCGTCTCTAGACAAGACAACCTATAACAAACCAAAGCAAGGTCCAGTACAAACAAATATCCAAAAGATTGATAAATTAACCATTTCAAAGAACTGCAAAAATTCAGAGCTGCCCACAAACTCCAGCACATACTAATGAATAAGCCAATATGCTAGATCGAGAAGTCAACTATATAAAGAAAACCAATGGATTAGCATTACCTCTAGACTTTTGTGCATCACTTCTTCAAAATGTTAGAGACCCCACATCCCAGAAGAGCAAATTAACTAAGATTGTCAAGTGATTCCTTTTGATGATGATACAGAAAAAACCATGGAATCTTGATATGGGAAGGTTATATAAAAAACTACAAGCTCCTACTTTTTTCCAAGAATGGTGGGGATCTTCCTATCTATATGCAAGATTTGTGAAAAGGGAAAAAGGGTAAAAAGATTCAAACTTTATGTATGAAACAAGCCAAAAAAAAAAAAAAGCATGGAAAAAATCTAATGTATTGTTTCTATGGGAAGGTTCTAATACCTTTACTTTAGTACTACTATATATATATTATTTACTTCTCTCTCTATGATCTTGGTTGACTGTCACTCTATCTTAATCATTTTGTCTCTCTCTCCCTCTCTCTATTGAAAGAGTTGATTAACTGATAGGCATTTCTATTCACTTTTCCAGAAAAATATTCATTTCGACTTCTGAGATTAGGACAGGTTCTTTGTTTTTACTTGGTTCTTTTTGGTCCTTTCTTTAAAGTTTAGATACTTGGTCTGGACAAAAAAATTGTACTAAGAATCCTACGAAATCATATGAAATTTAAGGATTTCATACCTATTGTATTGTATCGTATTGTTACCTTAAATGCAATGGCTATTTTGATTGTTGCATAAATTTTATTGTATCGTTTCGTTAAACGTTACGTAATGATAAACGTATCACTTTATTGAACGATCGATTTGGTGTGATCGTGTCATTACCTTTTTTTTTTCTCGTATCTTGCTCTTCCTTATTATTAAATAATCTAATTTTATTCTTTATCTTACCTATATAAAATTTTACCTCGTATTTTATCTTTTCTTTATAATATTTCAAGTTTGTTCTTCATGTTGTTGGTGCATGACATCACGAGACAACGACAAGCAATACAATCTATTCAAATATTGTATTATATCAAAATAATACAGTACAATACAAAATAATACTATATGATACATTATGAAACGATACATAACAACCATCCAAACAAATTGTAAACCAAGAAACTATTCAATGGATACAAGAATTACGTTGGTGCAATTCCGGAATTCCCATTAATTATTCTCTCTTATATTACCCAAAAATAAAGTAGGTAACGATATTATATAGTTGCGACGTGAGTACCATTCTTCAGGGCGGATAGAGCTCGTGTTTGATGAAATATATATTTAAATAAAGAATTATTAATATTTTAATAAATATTAAATTTTAAATTCATAATTTTAATGGATCAGGTTATAAAATTTTAAAATTGAACTCATCAAATTTAAATTATGAATCCATCTTGTATTCTGCACCCTTCTTACCATAAATAAGAAATCTAATCATCCTAGTCATAGCAAGGTGAAGTTTACGTGCGCTATTCTCATTCTTGGGTAATTAAGCATATTTTGAAGATGAAACGTTACAAAAAAACAATTAAAATCTCCCTCTTGAATATCTACAGTTGTAACGTAACCCTTTGTACCAGGCCAACGAAAACACTGTTCAAAAGTAGCCAGATTTACAACTGGTCGTTCAAAAATAGCCCAGTTTCAAAAGTAATCGAAATTTAGCCACTTTTTATGTAAAGATAAATCTGAGCGAAAACACTGTTCAAAACCCGAAAAATACGCCAATATATTATACTGGAGTTCCAGCATAAGTATGCTTGAACTCCAACATATTATACTAGAGTTCCAGGATAAGTATGCTGGAACTCGAGCATAATATGATGGAGTTCCAGCATAAGTACACTAGAACTCCAGCATAATATACTGGAGTTCCAGCAAGTATAATTGTCCAGTATAATATACTGGAGTTTGGAGCACCGGTGCTCCAATCTCCAGTATATGATACTGGAGTCAGCAAAGTATACCGGTCCAGCATAATATGCTGGAGTTCATACACAGGTGCACCGAACTCCAGTATATTATGTTGGACCGGTTTTTGTTGCAGCAAAATAGTGGCTATTTTTCATTGACTTCGTAAACGCTGGCTATTTTTGAATGATCAGTCCGAAAACTGGCTATACCGTGCTATTTTTACTAAAAAATACGCCGACAATATCATCATTAACGCGGATAGTACTCAATTTATTATTGCTAAATACATTTTTTAGGAGGTTTGTACTAATTTTTTTCAGTTCAAGATAATGTGGTCCATTAAGTGCCAAAACGAAGGTGAATTATTAATTCCCATGCCTAAATATGGATAAAAAGGTATTGGTAATTTTATTCTCCTGTATGGGACATGCCACTATATCTGAATCTTTGCATATCTCACTTATTCGTTCTTTCAATTTCTTCAACGGAAGTTAAAATGTATTTATATTTATACTATATTAAAAGCATGAAGGCCCTTAGCGAAATGTCGTTCGCCTTTTTTACCCTTTAAAATTGGAGTTCACATTAGACAAAATAGTCATTTAATTATTCTCCTAATATTTAGTTCTTTGAAATTGACTAAAATTTTGTTATTAAATTATTTTTCATTGAACTAGGTAGGAAACCCTAAAATTTAGGACTTTAAAGTCAATTAAAACTTTATTTAACTTAAATATTTTCCTTATTTGAATTATATATGTCACATAATTATAATTCTTACATGTTGCTTTCATGGATATATATTCTGTAAAAAAAAGTAAATAACGTGTGGTTTAAATAAAAGTAAAGTAAATAAATGATCCATCAATTTTATGCCTAATATTTTAAAAAGGCACGTAAGAAATAGTGCATTTAAGTCA